ACTGCGGCTGACACACTAACATCTCATGACACACAGTTTGGAAAGATCTGTGTTAGGGGAAGGTGGCTGGGTGAAACAGCCAGCCCATAATAGCAAGGGGTAAGGGTCCTTGTCATCAGGTGCTCACTCAGATGAGGATGGGAATGGCTTGGAGTGAATGGCCTTGGGACCAGGTGTGTCCCCCTGCAGCATCTCCTGCCTACAGCGGCTGCCTCACTCTACCTAATGGTAGGGCCAGCCCTCTCCTAGAAACAATCACTGTGGTGAATAGAGCATCTCAGAGGTACAGAGCTGCTTCCTCTTGACTGAAGCCATCTAGCACAACCAGTGGCAGAGCGTGGGTTGCTGCTGCCCGGGGTGCTTGCTTGCGTGCCGGATAGGCGAGTGGTGGGGTGTGTGCGTGCACATGAGGTGGGTGATACTAATAATTGGGGGAGACCTGCCCAGCCTTCACCACCGACGCCGCCAGAGTGACCTCACCGCCACTGGAGCAAAATGGGGTTGTGTTGAGCTGCCTGCCTGCCCTCGCAGGTGGGAGACCGGCTGGCCGATACTGCCATTGGTGGTCAGAGAAGAGGGCCGTGCTGGGGTCTCCTGCATGGGGTAACCTGGTTCGCGGCCCTTCAAAAATGGTGGTCCCAGGGCCATGACCCCTGGCGCTTCTCCCCTACTCTTTGCTAGGGAGTGAGAAGCTCTTCAGAGACAACAAACATCTGGTTCTCTTTGATGGCCCTTTGGCCCAGACCCTGCCAGGGCTCTGGGAAATGGTGTCAGCACTCAGCCTACCACTTTGTCTATTGCTGAAATGATAAGAAGAAAGCGGTCCCTTTATCTCCAAGGCTGGCTTAACGAGGGTCCTGTAACAGAGAGCTGAGATGAGGCCTGCTTCTCAAATCTGAATCAGGCATGAGCTTCTTGATCTCAGGGCCTTTTCGGGCCTTCTTCAGATGCTCAGTATTCATGGATATTGGGCACATCGTTCGGTGTCCATGCATTTGGCATCAGTCCACATTGGGGGAGTTTTTCATGTACATATCTGCATCCAAACATGCTCCCCCAATTATTAGTATCATTATTATTACTTAATGAATTTACATCCCACCTGTCTCCCAAGGCGGCTTACAAGATTTAAAAACGGCAATGATAAAATAGAACGTAACAAAAACAAACTGTTTAGAAACAGTGATTCAAAGGCCACACTTTTGACATCTGGAAAACAGGTGCCAGAACTGTGAACCCTTGAGTACCGCCAGAAAAAAAGCGCTGATTCTACCAAACATACACATTTTTGTATTATTTTCACTAGTATCCAGGTCGTTGGACCATAACCGAGTGTGAAGCCTCTGCACAGTAACTGTCGTTTTAATGATGTTTTTATTGATGTTTATATAGTTTTAATGGCTTATTTCATTATTTGCGGGGCTTCCTTGTCCCCTTTGGGAGGAAGCGCAGGCTATAACATAGGCTGAATGAATGAAAGAATAAATGAATGCGTTTCTTCCAATATGAACTTTTTGCAAAACAGGAAGCCTTTGTAGAAGTGTCAGGTCCTTAGGTTCAGCAATACATCAATCAGTTGCAAAGCATTGTGGGACGCCATAGAGGCGAGGCCCCCTTGTTAACATGCAGCGTCAGGTCTCTAGTAATCACAACGCTCCGATTAGCCGAAAGCAGATGTCGAGCATCTTCAGGGACACGTCAGATGTGACACGAGAAATGGTTGGCAGGTTGCGTTCCTCGCCATGGAAATCTCTTCAATGAAGCTCAAGTGCTTGGGCTCCTTTAACTGCGCTACATTTGCAGCAACCACTTCTAGCGCTCTGATAAAAAGTGTCAGCGATCCGAGTGTCACTTTCTCATGTCCTTACTTGCAGCCAACACATCGCACATCGGTCTTCGTTGATACCGTATCGCTCTTATTATAGAGCGCATCCGCTTCCACATTCCTCAGGAGATCCGTATTACAGAGCCATGATTAAAACAACAACAGCAACAGCAACAATCCAGTGGCCATGTTTTATTTTTTAATTTTTTTTAATGCTTTTTAAGTTTATACGTTTCAATAATTTTACAATAATTTTAACATTTCAAACCTTTACTTCTTTCCCCCTCTTACTGCAGTTCCTTAAATTTATTTTTAATATCGTTTGCATTTCCAGATTAACTTAATTTGCTCATTTATTCGTCTACTTTAAATATATACTCCTATAAGACTGCAGGTTATTACAGTAATCCTGCCAATGTTCTTATCTGTTTACAATTTATTTGTAAATATTCAATCATTCGGGTTGAATGTGCTTCAGGTTGAGCGCTTTCGGGTTGCGCTCCGTGGCAGCCTGGAAGTAACGGAACGCGGAACAATAGCAACCTTACTTTGTTTACCAATTATTTATTCATTTATTTCATCCATGACTTGCTTCCCACAAGGCATCCCATAGCGATTCTTGTCGAGGCGGCCTCTGGCCCTAGCTACAACAGTAGCCCACCATTTTAAACAGTTATGGCTTCCCCCAAAGCATCCTGGGAACGGTAGGTTGTGAAGGACGCTGAGAGTTGCTAGGAAACCCTTGAAGAGCAACTGTAATCAACAAGTTATGCTAGTAGGACTACAAGAAGTTTTGTAAGGAGAAATATATGAAATATTGCAAAGAAGAGAAAGAAGAGAGATACGAGTTATGATATTCAAATGTAATAGTGGAAGTAAGAAATTTATATTAAGTAGAAAGGATTGGAAAATTTTCAGATGTGATTGATGGAAGTCAAAAAATTGTGGAATATATAAAAGTACATTTAATAGTTGTTGAAAATGATACCGTATTTTTCGCTCTATAGGACGCACTTCCCCCCCGTCCAAAAATTAAGGGGCGTCTTATGGAGCGAATGCAGGCTCCTTGGCTTCAGCGATAGCAACGCGAAGCCTCCGAAGCGCAGAGGGAGCGCTCCCTCCGTGCTCCGGAGGCTTCGCGTTGCTTTTGCTGAAGCCTGGAGAACGAGAGGGGTCGGTGCACATTGACCCCTCTCACTCTCCAGGCTTCAGGGATAGACTCTCCTGGCTTCAGCAACAGCAACGTGAAGCCTCCGGAGCGTGGAGGGAGCGCTCCCTCTGCGCTCCAGAGGCTTCGGGTTCCTTTTGCTGAAGCCAGGCGAGCAAGACTCTTCTGGCTTCAGCAGAGAGGGAGAGCTGTGCAGCGCCCCTTCAGCGAAGCGGGAGGAGAAATGGAAGGGGCTCCGTTTCTCCTGCCGCTTTGCTGAAGGGGCGCTGAGCAGAGAGGGGGAGATTTTTTTCCCTTTGTTCTCCCCCTCTAAAACAAGGTGCGTCCTATGGTCGGGTGCGTCCTATAGAGCGAAAAATACGGTATGTTAAAAAACTGAGAGAGAGAGAGAGAGAGTTGCTAGGAAACCCCTGTTACCTGAGCTGCAATCCCCAGAATTCCTTGGGAAGATGGATTGATTGTTAAGCTAGTCTGGGATTGTGCTTCATCTCATCTTCTTGGGCCATTTCTCCAGTACAAATGGACCCTACAGGCATAAAAGGGGGTGGGGCAGAGAGAAGATGAGAGAAGGTGTGGCAGGAGGAGACAGAGGGAAAGAAGGGTGCCCCACCCATTTGGAGCTATTTCCCCCCCTGCCACCCACTGCCTTTGGTTTATCCAACCAGTGGCTTGCGGTTCCTGAAGGATCACCCCCAAGGAAATGAATCCCTTGACAGAAAAAAGGTTCCCCACCCCTACCTTACTGTGTGCATATTCCTGTTATACTACTTTAAAAAATAACAATTTTAAAGAAGTTTCTGCCTTCTGTTTTAACTTATGAAGATCTTTGTTTGAACAGCATGTGCTTTGATTGATTATCAGAAATCAATGTGTCAAATATCTTATTTTAATAAGTTACCCCTCCCCCACAAAAAAAGAAAAGTTATGAGAATAATAATAAAAAGCACTTGTTGTTTATTAGGTATTTAAAAGCTTTCACACTTTCTGTGCAAAACTTTCCTTTTGAAGTAATTGGCCCTTATATTTCCTCCCGATACTGAATGAATCATGAAAAATTGCTAGGTTGCTTTTTAATAATAACGCTTCAAAGTGTGGCCTCTGGCTTTCCTTCCTTGCTTCTCACCTTCCAGCTACGTCTTTTCTTCTCCTCGCCTTTTATTTCCAGCTGAATATGAAAGCGAGAGTCTTGTCTCCAGCTAAAACTGTCACCCAGCAGTATCGCAAACACAAATTAAAACACACACAACCTCCACCCCTACCCCTCAGGCTGGCAATTAAGCACCTATTTATGTTTACTTTTATTTAACGTTCGTCTGCTGGAGCTAACCTATCCTGCAGGGGACTAATGAGCCATTCAGCAGTCACAACAGCAATGAAGTCTCTGACATGATTGGCTGAACTGCCGTGATGTCATAGAATCAGTTGTTGAGTTTTTATGGGACCCCGAGGGTCATCTAGTCCAACCGCCCTGTTATGTACTAACTTTGGATCCTAGAACAATAGGCAAGTAGGATCCTAGAATGCAACAACTGATTGGCCTGCAGGAAAAGACCAATCAGGCTCCAGGAGGGAAGCAGAATCAGCCAATCAGACAGGACTCATTGTGTAAATACAGTCATACCTCGGGTTGAATGTGCTTCAGGTTGAGCGCTTTCGGGTTGCGCTCCGTGGCAGCCTGGAAGTAACGGAACGCGTTACTTCCGGGTTTCGCTGCTCACGCATGCGCAGACGCTCAAAATGATGTCACGCGCATGCACAGAAATGGCAAAACGCAACCTGCACATGCGCAGACGCGCTGTCACGTCTTACGTTCCATTCAGGATGCGAATGGGGCTCCGGAACAGATCCCGTTCACATTCCAAGGTACCACTATAATGTATATAAAAGCCTGAGGTTTGGGGGGCAATTCAATCACTGTTTTACAAGCTGCAATAAAGAGCATGAAATCACTCACTACAGGACTCCAAGTATATTTCACGCCCTCAATGCACAACTCTTGCCCGCAGTTGTCCCTGGGTGGGCTCGAACCACCAACCCTCTGGTTAGCAGCCAGATGTGCTGTCCCATTGCGCCACCTGAGTGTCACAGAGAGGTGGGTGGGCAGAAAGTTTTCTGGCTGCCATTGGCTGAATAGCTCAGATATGACAGAGGAAACAGGGCAGGCAGAATGGAGGAGTGGTTGAAGAAGCAGTGGAGGCAGTGTGGAAAAGGAGTGCTCTCATCTCCTGCCCAGAGTGTCCCTAACACAGAGGTAGGTAGGTAGGTAGCAGTCAAAAAAATAAATAAATTGTTCAGTAGCACCTTAGAGACCAACTAAGTTTGTTCTGGGTATAAGCTTTCGTGAGAACAAACCAGAACAAACTTAGTTGGTCTCTAAGGTGCTACTGGACATTTTTAAAAAATTTTTATTTATTTATTAGGAGGAGGAAGACAGCCTTTAAGGAATCATAGGTGTTTTCAACTTGAAAGTTGTTATTTGTTCTGGGTCCATGAAAGATGGAGAAAGATGGGAGGCAATTTATTAAAAACAATAATTAAAAGACAAGCCAGGATATATGGGGTGAAATGAGGTGGGCAGAAAGCAGCAATAAACAAGTGGCCCTGAACTGTTATGTAGATTAGCCCCCCTCCTCCAAAAGTCTTTTCATCATTTCCTTATTTTGCCTCCAGACAACAATGCAGAGAATATTGCCATGTTCTGATGTCAAGGGAGACTGACAGTGATGGTTATTTGGCCCATTACTCTAAAATGTTTTTTTTAAAAACCTGCTGGGAGAGAATGTTCTTAATTTTAATGATCCTTCTTTTTAATTACCACCCAATTAAAATTCTTCCCTCCCCCACCCCACACCTCGGTTTGTCTTCTCCTTCTTGGGAAAGTCCCCCAAACTCCTCGCTTCAGCTTCCAAGTCTCTTGGAAGTGTCTTCCAAGTAAAGAGATGATAGTATTTTCTCTGCCCCACAGGGGAGGCTGCAGGAATTAATTATTGTTTTAGAAAGCGCTTTGAAATTGGAAAGAGCTGGAAGACTCTGTTGTAGTCCTGGAGGCTCTATGCTGGCAAGACTCTCAGAAACTGAACCGAGAGAGCTCTCCTTGGTCAAACTGACTGAGCAAAGCAGAGATAAGATCCAAATTGGATCTCAGGCTAGAAGAGAGTTGGGAGACAGAGCGGAAAATATTTAGGTGGGGCAGGACCTATGAGTGCACGAAGCTGACGTATGCAGACCGTTCAACTGTCCCAAGGATGGGCAGAACGAAGATTGGGATCTGTTTTTTATTTATTAAGCCCTGCTTTTGCCCACGGGTCTCAAGGCAATCCAAAGGATGCAATAAAAACAGCTGATAGCGGTTTAAGAAACCCACACGCGCACCCTCAGAGCAAATGCATTTAAAAAGCAACACAAAGTAGACACCCACAGCAGAGATCCATTCATCCAGCTGGGAGAGCCCATCAAAGCAAAAGGGTCTTCGACTCTTTTCTGGAAAGTGCAGACAGTGGGTGCGTCTTGCCTTTCAATGCGCATGCTGTTCCTTACACACTAAAAGGCCTGCTCTGAGTGACTGTGGAATGAGGAGCAGATTTCCTGCAGACAAAAATGGTTTTCAACCAGTGTGCTGTGCTACCCTGGGGTGCCTTGAATGATGGTCAGGGGTGCTGTGGGAAACACTGGCCTCTGTCCCTCTTTCCTTCCCTCCCTTCTCTGATGCCCTCTCGCATCTCTGCCTCCCAAAGGCTTGCACAGCTGTTTATTGCAGCAGCCCTGGCTATAAGCTCCCCAGGCGAATGAATGGTGCCTCTGGAGCTGGCCAGGGGGTGCTTCCCAACCTGGGAATCCCAGGCCCCTGTGGAGCAGTGTGAGGAGGCACCCCTCTTTGGGGCAGGTGGGGGGGGGGCAGCTCAGAGACCAGGGGCAGCAGTTGCAGCTGCCCAGAGGACTCCCAAGGAGAGGGAAAAGCTGAGAAGGCTGAGGGAACCCTTCCCAAGGTAGGGTGTTCGAAAAGGGGTCTGCGCACACACAGATAGCGATTCCACACTTCTGAGCATGCGCGACCACCGAAACCTGGAAGTAACCCTTTCTGGTAATTCCGGGTTTCGGCGGTTCGTAACCTGAAAAAACACAACCTGAAGCGTCTGTAACCCGAGGTATGACTGTACAGGAAAGCTTTTTAATGTTTAATGTTTTATTATGCTTTTATATATGTTGGAAGCCTCCCCGAATGGCTGGGGCAACCCAGTCAGATGGGCGGGATGATAATAATAATAATAATAATAATAATAATAGAATAATACATCCCTATTTTCATCAGAGAAATGTTTGGGGGATGTTCTCCTCATCACCACTGACATTTTTGGGTGCTAACTTCTGCAGAGGGGCCTCTTTTGGTTCTTCCACGACCCTCAGAAATATGAGGAACGACAGCCTGATAGAGAGGGCTTTCTTGGTAAAGGTAAAGGGGACCCCTGACTGTTAGGTCCAGTCGTGGCCGACTCTGGGGTTGCGGCACTCATCTCGCTTTATTGGCCGAGGGAGCTGATGTACAGCTTCCGGGTCATGTGGCCAGCATGACTAAGCCGCTTCTGGCGAACCAGAGCAGCGCACAGAAACGCTGTTTACCTTCCCACTGGAGCGGTATCTATTTATCTACTTGCACTTGGACATGCTTTTAACTGCTAGGTGGGCAGGATCAGGGACCGAGCAACGGGAGCTGACCCCATCGTGGGGATTCAAACTGCCGACCTTCTGATAGGCAAGTCCTAGGCTCTGTGGTTTAATCCACAGCGCCACCTGCGTCCCGCGCTTTCTTGGTAGCAGTCCCTAAATTATGACACTGTCTCCCCACAGAGGTGCGTCTAGCAACTTCATTGTACAACTTTTGCTGCATGTTGAAGATGCACCTCTTTGACACGTAAGGTACTTTATTCTGTGGGACTCTCTTTTGCTGAATGTTCCTTTTGAAACTGTTTTATTTCTTTTACAATTGCAAATGTTTTCTCTGTCTTCTTAATGGCATCTTACGCTGCCGCAACCTGCCCTGGCACTCTATGTTAAAGTGCAGATAAGAAACAAAATAAGTAAATAAAACGAAACAAAGTACCTGCATTGCATGGAAAAGGTTGCGGGTTCAAACCCTGGCATCTCCATGCAGACCTGGAGAGCTGTTGCCAGTCTGTGTGGACAACACTGAAACTGATGGACCAATGACTGGATTTGGCGTAAGGCAGCTTCCTATGTTCCTAAGACCCCCCCCCCCGTCTTTCTGTAACACAGTGTTTTCCATTGTGACTCTGTTAATGTGTAGTGGGTGGGAGAAAGCTTTTATCTGCTGAATAAAATATGAAGGGCCTTTGCAGAATCGAATCAGCGCTTTCATTGGAGTCAGCAATTCTGGATCCTTTCAGACATATCTATTATTTACTACATTTGCTTCCTAAATGCAAAAAACAACAACAACCAACCAGTCTTCACCTCACCACCAGCCAAAGCCTGTCCTTAACAAAAAAACAAAAACAAAAGAAGGCCAGTGCACAGAGCCATCTTATCTCAAGGGGAGGTGGGGAAGCATCAGTCCCTTATCAGAAATAATAATGATAATAATAATAATAATAATAATAATAATAATAAAATAAATTTATACCCTGCCCATCTGGCTGGGGAAACCCAACAGAATATTAAAATACAATATTGGGTGGCTTCCAACAAAATATTAAAATACAATAATCTATTAAACATTAAAAGCTTGCCTAAATGTAGGTATCGATATTCAGCTGTTCCCAAGAACCAGCAGAAATTCTTCCAGCTCAGTTATTGGATTCCAGCTCAGATTGTATTGGAAACGTGCTCTTTGTGGAGTTGGGTGATGGCCGCCAACTCAGATGGCTTTAAAAGTGGATTGGACAAATTTGTAGAGGAGAGGGCTATCGATGGCTATTAGCTACAATGGTGATGTTCTGCTTCCACAGTCAGAGGCGCAAGTCTTCTGAATCCCAGTTGCTGGAAACTGCAGGAGGGGCAAGCGTTCCTTTTGTCAGGTCCTCCTTGTGGGGTTCCCACAGGCATTTGGTTGGCCACTGTGAGAATAAGACGGTGGATTAGACTGGCCATTGAGCGCACACAGTTTGATCCATCTTTTAGATTTAGGGGAGCTAGTCTCAAATGTTTGTTGGGGGAGACCTAGGTTTTTTGGGGGGGAGTTATTTGTCCTGTCTTCACGCTTTTTATGATGGAGGACCGCTGTAGCCACCCCCAACGACACTTTCTCAAGATGGAGGGGAAGGGAACAGCTGCAGTCGCCTGCGGTTCCTGCGCAATGTTTGCCATCTTGCCAAAGGTTGCAGGCAGCTTTACCTGCAGCAATTGCATGTTGATTGCCCTCTTAGAAGACAAAGTCCAGCAACTGGAGGAACGTGTAGCTACGCTCCAAAGAATTAGAGAGCTGGAGCTCTTCTTGGAAGCAACAGAGCACACCGTCTCCACCAAGGAGGAGACAGGGGACTCCCCTGAGAAGGAGGCTAGTTCACCAACACAGGAGCCAGATATATGGAGAAACGTGACTCAAAGAAGTAGGAGGCCCAGGGTTCACTCTGATTGTTTAGAAATACACAATCGCTTTGAGGTCCTCTCCCCTAGCATGGAAGACGAAGAGCAGACTCCATTTGAGGATCTCTCCCTCATTACAGTCAATCAGGTATATGAAGACGAGCAGCAAAGTCAGTCCTCAGGGAATGTGCAGGCGACCTTGGAACGGACAGCTCGGAAGAACCCCGACCAAAACTAAGAGGAGGCGTGTAGTGGTGATAGGGGATTCCCTACTGAGGGGAACAGAAGCAGTGATCTGTGGGCCTGACAAGATGTCTCGGGAAGTGTGCTGTCTCCCGGGGCTAAGATCCAAGATGTAACTGAACGACTGCAAGGAATCATAAAACCCACTGACAAATACCCCTTCCTCTTGGTTCATGTGGGAACCAATGACACTGCAAGCAATAGCCTCCAGAAGATCAAAAGAGACTACGAGGCTCTGGGCAGGAAATTGAAGCAATTAAATGCACAAATTGTCATCTCATCTGTCCTCCCAGTTGAACGGCGTGGCCCAGGGAGAGAGGGAAAAATAGTGGAAGTGAACAGCTGGCTTCGCAAATGGTGTAAACAAGAACGGTTTGGATTCTTAGATCACGGACTGCAGTTTCTTGAAGATGGACTTCTGGCAAGCGATGGGCTGCACCTCACAACGGTTGGGAGAAATGTTTTTGCCAAAAATCTCAGAAATCTCATCAGGAGGGCATTAAACTGACTAATGTGTTGGAGGGAGACAGTGCTCCTGAAGGTAGGAGTCTATCAATTGATGAAGATGATCATCCAAATGTCATAGACCAAATGGAGCAAACAGCACG